TTACAGGTAGCCAATCGGAAGAGTATTTCTCCGTTTTCACGCGCTGCCGGCGGCCGGTCAGATAAGAATAAAACCAGTTTAGAGCTGGGTATATCCATCCTTGGACTGTAAATATTGTTCAACCTGTTCACGATTAAACCCATGCTTGCTGGCTTCTTTGTAGAGACGCTCAATTCCACCGAAGCTTCCCGGGTTCGTGGGATTCAGATAAATATCGTCTAAAGACACCATTTTATGCATATGTTAACCAACCTCCGCTCTGAATATTTGATTCATTCTGCGGTTCTGGCGACTTTGTACGTGGTTTTTTTATCGGTCTGTCCTTAGAACTACTCTTTGCACGCCTTAATGCCGGATTGACAACTAATTGCTGAGGTGAATATTTAATATTTGGAACCTTGGTTGTTCGTGCTGTTAACGATTTTCTTGGACCAACAGCTGCATTAGTATTTGCTTGAAGTTGTGGTAGCGGGGCTGGTGGTGGCATTAAAGCTTTAAATGTTGGTGGCGGACCCACTGCCGCAGTGGCTGGCCTTTGCGTAGGCTTGGTGCGGTATGTTAAAGCAGGTAGCTGTTGAGCAGGGGGCAGACGAGCCTGCTCGTACGTTAAAGATTTCAGCTGTGGACCAGGTGGCAAACTAGCCTGTTCGTACGTTAGAGACTTTGGCTGTTTCGATTGTAGGTAAAGCTGCTGGCGGATGACGTATCGATGGTACGTCAATACTGTCTTCGTCGCTATCATCTGGAAATTCCACCATACTTATTGGTGCTGCATTCGCTAAAGCCAAAAAGTTGGGGGATGGGCTTCGGAAACCTAAATAATTCAAAGGTATTGATGGTGGTGGCTGCAACGATGCTTGGTGTTGTGGTGGTGGTGGAAAGTGCATTGGTGGAGGAAATAATGGCTGGGACGTTATTGGGGAGGCCTCGTTGTACGTTAAATAACCATCGATGGGAAACGTTACTTCGGGGTTGGCCGGTCCGTCAGTGAGCGCAGGTAACGGTGGACCATCATCGATCTCCATAAGCGAGTTTGTACCTTTGTGCGCTGTTCTGGGTTTTAGCGCCGGTTTTTTCGTAATGATTTTCGGTTTAGGTTCTCGGTAAACATGCTTTACAAGTGGTTTTCCTGGTACGGGAACATACTGGAGAACGGGAGCACTGGGAACCATAATTGGATCCCCCTGTACATATTGTATAATTGGATCTGATTGCACATATTCAGTTTGAGGATCTTTGTTTTTCTGTGTTTGCTGATCCATCATTGGCTGTTTGGGCGTCGGAATATAATGTGTGACAGGTTCTGTGTCGACCTGCACCTCATAGTCTCGAGTTCGCACGGCATGCTGTGGTTGATTACCTAAAACCGGCTGAACACCTGCGTTAGTAGGTTGTTTCGGCTGATAAACAGGGGCCTCGGGGACTGGATTATGCTGTAGTTGTTGTCTTATTGCGTCGCTGACATGATAAGATTTGGTCCACGGTGTTGAACGCCGCTTTGTTGTCAGGATGGCGTACTCCGCCTCCGGCACCAATATAAAAGTTTGCATTTTGAAGAAATAAAAGATGTTAACAAGCTTCCTAAAACAGGTAATAACACGTTCAAAAATCCACTTTTTTGTTATAAAATCTTTAATTTGTTCTTGCGATTTACGTCCCTACTTGCAAGGCGTCTAATGCTTAATGCATATTTCTTGACTTGTCGGAGCTCTTGTTTAGAAATTCCAACTGGATTTTTAAGCAAGTTGAGGCAGGCCTCTTCAATAGCTTGCATTTGTTTCTTATTATAATGCGAAAAAACTTTCCTGCGCTGTATTAGCGACAGCTGTGCAAGACCGAGCACGATTTTGTGCACTTCATCCGGCTTCATTCTACATATATAGTCCTGTGTGTCAAAATGTGAGACTGAAGACGTAGTTTATCAGGTGTTTCCGGTCGTAGGTTTATCAACAGATACCCATGAGGCTCCTTTATAGCCTTTATAGGCTTGTTCAAGGTGTTTCATTCCCAACTGCCTCGCCAGTACCTGAACCTGCTGCACATCACGAACAGACTTAAACACTATTATATACTGTGCGTTAAGCGCAATGTCGCGCATTGTTTTTCCCTTTTTAAAAAGGTTTTGTGACAAAAACATCACTGTTACGTTCTTATGGTGCACATCCCGTGTAAAAAGTGCGGATGCTTTCTTATTATTGGCAATTTCTTCCATTAAATCATCAAGAACTAGGAGCGTTGGAATGTTAAGCTGAAAAAACCCATCCTCAAAGACTTTCTCAAGCTCACCTACCAATTCCACACCTGCAGGCAGTTCATCAAACAGTTCTTGGAAAACACCGTACACGTACACGATCCTTGTGGGTGCTGGGTAAAAGTATGTCTGCAAGTTTTTCAGTAACTCCATAGTCAAGGTGGATTTCCCAGACATAGTTGGGCCGCTCATGTAAATAGAGCACGGCGTCTTAAACCGTAAATCAGTAGTAATGCGTTCCATTTCGATTAAATAAGTTTACTTATACCCCATATGAGGGTGTTCTGCCATCCTTAATACCATCACGAAAATCACCCAGAAAATACACGGATTTATTTTTTCAATCCGATTTTAGTATAATAAAAACAGTCCTTGACACATGCAAAAAATTTAACATCAGAAGAGGACAATTTTTGAACTGAGGAAAGGACAACTTTTTCCCGTTTTGTATGTTAAGTCTACGAGAAAATGCTTCGAGAACAGGACATTTTTTGACTCGAGAAGAGACCCATTTTTGTCTAACACAAACCAAAATCTAGCCTCATTTCAATATAAAAAAACATCCAATTTATGAACAGAATAATTTTATACGAGAACAGGACAATTTTGACTCAAAGACAGGACAACTTTTCTACCAGTTTGTATGTTAAGTCTAGGGGTAACAAAACTGAGAACAGTCCAAATTTCCGCCTGAGAGAAGGCTCGTTTTTGTTCAACGTTGCTCCGTTTTTGACCCTTCCATGATTTCGTTTTCGAATTCTTCAATCCATTTATCCCATTCTTCTTCGTAATTGTTGTCGGTTTGTAGCGATTCTCTACATAACATGACCTTTAGACGGCTTACGCATTCGTCAACATTCTTTTCCGACTTTGCCCCAAGTATTACACATTTTCCAGTATGGAAAATATTGACGGTGACCTGAATGTCCCCGAATCGAACTTTTGCGGCAGGAAACAATTCTGGCTCATAGAATGCGCCATGTTTTTCGGCAAGCATATATAAATCAATCAGGGCTGAATGATCATAAGTCGACACGATGTTAACGATCCGTTTTTCGGCAATATTAGCGCGGTAACCCATACGGCGCAACCGCATCTGGTACTTTTTTACTAACTCCTTCGAATCGGCTTCGGACTTCCCACCATTAATTATAGTTTCCCGTTCCTAAAGACTTGACAAAAACTTCCATCCTTTGAGGTGATGTTGACAGTATCAAAATCCTTGACAATCTTGGTGGTTGTGGACCGTGCAATGTGTCCCAAATCCAAGGGACAAGTAAACCGGACAGACGTGATTACGTTATGGATCATTCTGGTGAAAACAAATACTGAGAGCAAATGAAAGCTTGTCAAGCGCGAGGCTGTCTGCTTTTATACCATGCACTTGGAAGGCCAACTACACTTACGAAGCGCGATGTTCGACCAATCCGTTCGGAACTTGTCGACGATAGAGCGTGACTTCAAAATCGCAGCAATGTAAGCTTGTCTGTCTCATATCATGGACAAGCTAAGACTGCCACGAATTTGGGGTCGAAACCCGTTCTTTTCCTTATCCATGAAATTAACAGCAAGCAACCCAGATGTTTATTTAAAAATGCAACAAAAGCTAAGGCGGCAAGTAAAAAGAAACCAATTGTAAAAATAATAAACCATTGTATGAAAATAATAGAAAATTATCCATGTTCATATAAAAAAAAAGCTAAAGCGCCAATGCAAAGCATAAAACCATAACACTACTGCATGATTATTTTCTTCATTAAACACATAATGCTCCGAACATTGCGATACATCAAGGTAATCTGACGGTCTTCTCGCTCCAGCGTAACTGTACGTCCGAAAAAGTGGGTGTTCGTGAGCCGGATATCGATTACTTCTTTCACACTGTTTTCCACGAACGCAATTTGAGGCTTTCCGGTGAAATTTGCTTTGTCCAAGGTTTTGACAATCTCACCATCATCCACTTTTCGTATTAGTGCCGCCGCGCTTGTACTATCAAGAGGAAACCCGTCGTTTGTCGCTTTCTCAAATCCTTTTTTGTCCGCCGTTGCACGCCCGAAAAGAAGGGAATTAGTGGGTGAGTTTAACCACATGGTCGTTTGCCCAGTGATTTTGTAACATTTAACTGGGCCATCTTCATAAACCACTTCCAACTCTTTGAACGTTGCCATTTCTATAAAACGAAGGGATGAAACAGAATGAGTAAAGTCGGTATGGATGCACATCCTATATTTCGCAATAACATACATAAATCCATAAGGATGTGCTTCTAGACGTAACTGCCGTCCACAACGTCGCCACAAGTGCAGAACATGTCGAAACGGACAATTTGCCGATTCCATCTGATGAGGGTCCACTCGTCACATTCCTTTTTAATATCTTGAATATTATTCACAAAATCGGTGCCTTTAACATGGTTAAGGTACTGACAGGTTGGACTCCAAAGGGCATGTTGTACTTGAACATCTTCGAACGTAAGAGATCCTCGAAACCAACGCCACAAGAAAAACAATGCAGACGGCCTCCCCGGGAATGATAAAATCCACTACTAGCTAAATTTTCGTGTTTTTGTCCAGGAAATTCTTTAGATTTCATCAAATCCAGGCGAGCTGTGTATTCAATCATACCCATATGATGAATGCGATCCATTATTTCTGGCATACATAAAATTGTAGAAGAAACGAAACGAAAGTGTCACATTAGCTTTCCGTTCAGATTGTCGTGCCCTTAATGACTCTTTGGCGTGTAAAAATCAAATAACCGTGCGCTTCGTTCCAAATGGGACAGTTGTTAAATCGGGCCAAAGCACGCGTTTATCATACACCTTCTGCAAGCTTTTCACCATTTTAACCGTGGATATTTGTAGTGTCTTGAAGTCACGTTTATAGAATTCCGGGTATGTGACGGAAACTATCCCACCGTTCAAGGATTTTTTCAGCTTTTCGAAATCTAACTTCTGACCGGTGCGCTGAAGATTTTCGTCCAACAGATCTTCCGTATAGCCATTCTGCGTTAATCCCTTAACTTTGAGTTCAAAGCGTCCTGTATCTGTCACATAACTGTAGACTTCGGGGCCGCATGATACAAAGCTCGTGATATGGGACTCGTTGGCCAATAACTCGTTGCTCCAGTCTCCCAAAAAGGTGCCCGTTTGGGGTAGCCAGTCTCCAGACCGGTGAACAAACAGTACGGAGTCGGTATCATAGTACAAGTCACGATCGTTCAAGCGCTCCAGCATATCTAGAAGTTTTAGGCGGGCCAGGCTGGTCGTAAACGCGGCAATAGCGATGTTAACGCAGTCGTTCCCTTCGTTGTAGTCCTCCCTCCGCGATAAAGTCAGCATCAGGCACTCAGGACTCACAGCATGGACACTGTGTATTTCGACGGCTTCGGACCGACATAAGTCAAAGTATTTCTTTGTTTCATAGAGGAAGATGGTCTGTTCCAGATTATCTCTCTGTCCAAATTTTCCCCAAAAAGAGTTAAGCATTATTTTGGCAATGGCGCGTCTTGCGGGATTGTCCTCTGTGCGATCCGGAATCAGGGAAACTGTCTCCCGTTCCAAAACTTCTCGAAGGTATTGCTTTCTGGTTTCAGGCGTAGTCGCATACGATGGCCAATCGGAAGCATCCACCTTTTCTTTCAAAAATTTTTCCACATATTCAGAAAACAGTCCGAAGCGCTTGTGGTTCCAATGCCACACTTCGTAGATTTTATGCACTTTATATCCACGGTCAAGTGCATGGTGTAGCTCGGGAGTGCACCATACCCCTTCAAGGCAGCGCTCCTGGTCCGTATGGTTGCAGTAGTCATTGTTCTTGGACACCGCGCATGCCATGCAGAGAGTGAAAATCAGCTTACCGTTGATCGTGAACGGCAAGACTGGAAAGTGTAGCTTTTCCGGTGGTATAACTTGGCAAAACACCATTCCAAAATAATTCTTAACGTCGTCAAAATCCGAAATAATCATTTCCGGATGTCCCACCGGATACTGCCCGGTCTTATTGATGTATGGATATAGGGATACCATGTCATAATGGAATATTTTCTCTCCTGGCTCTTTCACGTCATAGCTCAAAACTGCAGCATTTGTACGGCCGCCTTTGAAAGCATCTCTCGGCCGCAATGGGTCGCGCAAGTTCATACGAGCCAAAAATTCGGTGACGACGGAATTCAGGCGTTCTTTGGTCCATTCGCACGACCATTTGGATTGTACTTCAAAACCACGCTCTCCCAGTTAGGACTCTTTCTGTAACCATTCTTCATAAACTTCCTTCGTTTTCTTGTTGGAAAACGGTGTTCGATCCTCTGGGTTCGTGCACAAAGGGTGTCCATGGTGTACACAACCATTGTATTCATAGATAGTATTCGTAGAGGGGTCGTAACCATCTACAAATTACCGTCCTATACGCTTTTCCTTGGCCAGTCTCCCATGCTCCAATGCGGGATGATCCCTTCGCAGCCACTCTAGCCACTGTGCGGCCTGCATGGACGTCCTCCTGTTTGGCTGGTAGCCCGATGCAGAGATAACCCCAATTTCTTTCAGCTTGAGTATGTATGTACGGTAAAACTTTTGACAGGCTGAAGCGATGGTAACACTCTCGAACGGGTCAATTGCGGTTTGCTCGAGAAAACTTCTTCGAAACTCGAGTGCGCATTTGCGCAGAATGGTCACATCATTCGAACAGTAGGACGCAAGCTCGTTTCGAAAATTAAAGCTGTCGTCAGCAGCTTCGCGAGCTTCTGCATGCCACTTTAAAAAGTCCTGTTTATCTTTCTTCTTTAAATTGTCCAATGCGTACATTTCCGGTCCCGGCCAAGGTAAAGTTTTGTCCCAGTTATCCGGCTTGTTACACTTATGCGGAAAGTCACCTTTCTGCGCCAATCCCGTCAATCCTACAGCCTTGGGAAAATTAGATATTTTCGTGGCGACAAAATTCAACGTGTCGCGACAAGTTATTTGTAGAGGCGCATACCTAATATCAAGGATCTGCGATCCCCGACGGATTACTTTAACACTTTTCAAGGAATTTTCCAGGAGGTAAGCAAGGATGAAATGACCGTCGTAACCTCGTAAATTATGGGCAATGAGTGTAGATCCGCGATGCGCCTCGGAAAATACCCATTTTCCAAATTCTGTACTAACGTCATATCCAGTCATCGCGACTCCGTCAGGCGGAAACCTAAACTCGGTTCCATCCGGATACTGTGCCACTATAAAACAAGGCTTGTGGACACCGTCTTCTCCAAGGTACGTTTCGTAGTCGAAATAGATGTGTTTCGGCACTTCCGGGTACCTTTTAGGTTCCATTAACTTAATGAAACACGCATGTGTCGACTGGGGCACCCATTCTCGACACAGCGCACAGTACATTTCATCGCAAAAGTGTTCACCACCGTTCCTTTTGGTCATGTTGATGAACTTGGAACATGCTTGGCAGATGAAAAGATTGTCGCAAAAGGTCCTTTCGTTTTTTCGGGTTTTCTTATGGAGATTGAAACAGTCTTTATTATTAAACCGTCGCCCACAGTCTTTACAGTCCAATAAGGGATCTTCTGGAGCACAAATGTCCGTTGGCCGATAACAGAGGTGACAAAAGCCGCTGCACCGATGTTGATATTTATTCTGAAACGCTTTATCACACTCAATGCAGTAGTAAGACTGTTTAAAGAATCCGGTACGTTTCGTAATCAAGTCGAAATGATTTTTTTCATGCAACAGGAAAATTTCTTTCATACCTTGAGATTTTTTTTCTGGTATTTTTGCAACCAGGGCGTTCCCATGCTCAACTGAAATAACTTTTACCTGGAAGTTGCCTAAAAACCGTTGGAAATCTTCGATATCATCCGTACCGAATTAACGACCAACCCTTAACCCTGTGTCACGAACTAGACCAATCGACATGTTTTGCAGTTTCTTGTAACGTTTATCCGTTAGTTTTTTCCATTTCTTTCCTCCATCTTCGGCACGGAGATACTGTTGCTGTCCAAGAACTAGGGCCGCGGGCAAGCACAAATCATATTTGACCTTTACCTGAACAATGGACTTGCTGAACCTTTTGCGATCCAGTGAGTTATGATAATGCTTTTGCCGGCGTCCTCCATTCGGCAGCAAGGTCCGGTCGATGACGATCCGGAAGGACTCGTCGACCCGGAATTTCGTCCCGGAATTGAGTATAGTGAACTTTTGCATAAGAGTATTCACACTGAAGCTTGAGAATTTGTTCATACTTAAATACATTGGATAATCCAGTGTGTCACTGATGAGCGTGACTATGACGCGATCATTCGGTTGAAAATCGTGCATGCAAAGGCTGAATATGGAAGCAAAAATGTGCGGCATCGCCAGAACTGACGTCAGTGGTGTAAACAGCGTGAGGAGTGACGTAATTAGGACGGAATACGTATACCGGGTAAGGTGGAATTTCCGCGTGGTGTGCTCGCTATCTTTAACGAGGCTAAAGACTTGCGTCCAGTAAAATTTCATGAAATCGAAGGCTTCGTCATCGACCGTGTTCGTGCCACCACTGTCCTCTGCAGCAACGTAGTCCCTATCACCAACTTTCGGTGTAGTGATGGTTGCGGAAGTGCTAGCCTGATGGCCACCAATCTGCATTCTGGTCTGATCTGGTAACTCTCCACTCATAATCATACGCATGAACTCATCTAAATCGGTTTCATCAGCGTCATATGTCGCTAAAGCATCGCGAAGGAAGGCATCGATATCTTCTAAGCGGTCGCTTTCACCGGCGGATCCTGAGCTATCCAAGAATTCTGTATTTTGACATACCGCTGTGGACTCTCCTGTTGGCACACCTTCTTGATCACCGATCTGTTCGGTGATCGGGTCCATGGAATTCAACAGATTCCGGATGAAATCATCTGGGTCTGTGTTGTCCGCTTCATAATTGGACAGAGTATTGCGGAGGTACTCGTCAGCGCCAATTTGATCAGCAGCCGACGCACTTCCGGCCCCCGCCATAATGTTAACCATTACGGCATCGGCGTAAAGGTTTGGCTGATAATTTTCTACAGCTTCTTGTAGAAACATATCAACGTCATCTCCACTACAATTAATTGTATCAGATGAATCCTGCCATTCTCCACTGGCATTCATGACCTCGAAATTTTCAGACATCTCCCCATGAAACATTTGTTCCAGTTCCTGAAAATCAAATAGTGCGGCAATCTCTTCCAAGCTATAAGATCCAACAAATTCCGGATAGTTTTCAGCTAACCATTTACGAAAGTATTCACTTTAATACTTAATAATGTCATCAATACTTACAGCCATTTTTATTTTTTAAAAAGAAAATGCACCATCCAATCCAGCAATCATAAAAGTGTAACACAGAAACTTCAAAACTTTTTGCATCTGCGCCACAATACTGAACGGATGCCTGAACTAACGTACTTTTATATACCACCGGAGATGTTCAACGGCTTTGCGTCAAAATGTCAAAAATATTCCGACCAATCAACAATTAGAAGATGCAAATATCCTCTCAGGATGGACCAATCAAAACGTTCGGAGTGATAATCTTGGGCCAACAGTCTGATGACCAGCAGCGGCTTTGCGCTGAGGTCATTATGCAGCCCGTGTAACTGACCCATGTGGGCTTAAATACCCGTAGCAATTATCTTAGCTGACCATCGGTCAGTGGTCTTGCTGTATGTACATAGAGTAACACCTGCAAGCGCGCGTACAGTCACGACTGAGCAACAACCAAGAGAGAGAGAGAGAGAGAGAGAGAGAGCGAAACAAATGCAGCAGAGGCACAGACGTTCACATTGTACAGTATTTAAGCGGCTTCCGATCATTTGCACTATCCGTATTTTCCTGGCAGTTTCTACATTTTCTCAAATGGACTTTAAAGTGTGCGAAAACCGGGTGCTGAGTTTTGTCCATCTCAAAAGACGACCTCCACAGCCCGCCGCGGTATTATCCTCAGCGGTCTCTATCACAGCGGACACCCCGACGAGCGCGATACATGCGCGGTATTTACGTTAACATTTTTTTATTTGATGTAACTTCATAATGGAGTGGGCCACTTGGACGGGCGAACCCTCACCCAGCTGCCCATCTAGGCATTAAACTAGGATTCTTACTAACCTTCCGGTGAGGAACATTTAAAAGGACATTGTCGCCGGGGCGATGGTCAACGTCAGTCCAATTACAGTCATGGCGTACCTTATCTTTTGATTTATGTCTGAATTCCTCAGCGTTGAAAATTTCCCGTGTTTCCCCGAGTCCGCGCTGCGTTTGTTGCTCATAAAGATGGACGGAAACGACGAATTCCTCATCCATGAGGATAAAACTTCCAATGGGCAACCTCATCACCTGACCGTACATGAGAATAACGATAACTGCTGAGTTCTCTCAACTGTTTTTGCACTGAATGTCGCTGTTAGCGACATTGGGAAGGAGTCCCAGTCGTTCTGTTTCTTGTTTGTGTATTTTGCTAAAGCTCGCTTAATTTCTTCTACCCGTATATCGTTGTGGTTGTTAAAAATTTTTCCATGACCCTTACGCAGCTTTTCGGCTTCGCAGACAATGAAGCGGCAATGCATACTTATGTGCATCATGAGGAAACCCGCTGACACAGGGTTCTTCAGAAGTATACAGGATGTGGTCGGGAACTTTCTGCGCTGTTTGCGGGAAGGGTATCCCCGTGCGCTATCCTCTGCCACATCCTCTACCTTCCCTGTCCGCCCAGGCAAGGTGGGCAAGAAGCGTATCGTAACCATTACGGGAGTAACAACCTCGGCGACAGCTGGCATAATGGAAGTGACGCCGAGAAACTTGTGCGTGACGCGATCAATGTGATCCGGCATTGTGTGGTACTGATCTATAAGACTGGTGGGACCAGATCTTCCCGGTCGGCGTACCGTTTCCTTAGAATGAAATTGGCATACGCAAGTATATCAAGCGCAACTTGGGTGCCACCGGCAGCGCTTTGGCCTGCTTGAACGAAAAGCCGAAGTTGTTCTGCTGTCTCCTGTCGCAACTTCTACGAAGTGATACCGTGC